CTCAATGGAGGAAAGATAAGGAGGGTAGAACGAAGTTACCATATCAACGGTGAATGATGGTGGACGGGGAAGGCGGTGCATTCCAAGAGGACAAAGTAGTCGGAACACAAACACCACACAAAATCTCACAAAGGTTGAGTTATTGACTCTAAAATCAAATAGCAAAACTGACTCAACCGAGGAGAAATAGAGACAGAAATACAAACCGACTGGTTGGGTTGCCTCCCAACAAGCGCTTCTTTCACGTCGTGAGCCGGACGATGGCTCCTAAGTTTCGGTCCATGCTAGAACCTCCTTGAAGTTGAGGTTCTCGTCGATGAGGTGGAGTCTCAAGTCATGAGCATGTGGTGTGGCAGGTGATGAAGGCTCATGTACTTGATGCAGATGAAGTCTCCACCCTCGAGACCTCTTCTTCTCTTCTCTCGTCTCATTGCCCCAAACCAGATATGACAGCATCGATTGGCCACCATCGCGTCCACCAAGAGGGACCGATGTCGAGGTGGCCTTGGTCTGGAAAAGAGACACTGCAAATGGGTCCTTGCCAAGCAGTTCCTCAAAGTTTGGTGGGGATATTACTTGCAACTCATGGCCGGTGCATGCCTCTTCCACCTCAACTTCATCCTCAGCCTGGACGCCAATTGCTTCTTTAACCTCCCTTCCTTCTTCATGTGGTATCACCCCTGGGAAATGATCAAGAACTTCTCCAGTTTCACTTTCGCCATCCTCCACAATTTCTTTCTGCACCCTTTCTTGCTCTTCTTCTTCTAGCACGGATTGGAGAGCAAGTTACCAAGCAATTTCTTTCATGAGATCTTCTTGCATCTCCGAACTCATGCCCGCCTCTTCAAAGCTTAGTTTGGGGTGTGGGAAGGTGTGGTCGGCTACGACATGACACTCCTGATCATGATCATCACGGGAGCTCTCCGTGACAACTTCAGTGTGCTCCACAATGTCCTTGTAGCCTTCTTCTTCCTCCTCCTCTTCTTGTATGGTAGCAGAAGGGTGATCTGGAGCAGGCTGTGCCCAAGATCGCTCAAGATCATCGACGCTCTTCTTAAGGCTCAGGAGGATCTCCTCTGTTTCACGATAGGCCTGGACACAATGATCCATACTGGAGCATGATCTCTCCATGAGAAGCCTCAAATCATAGTGTGGATCTGGCTGTGGAGTGTAGCATGGCTCTGCAGAATGGCCCGTGAAGGCCGCCATGGGTAACTCCAGCTCCAATGGCCCTTCTGGTTGTGGGAGAAATTCTTCTTGGTAATGAGGTTGTTCTTGATATGCCCAGGGGTCCGGTTGTTCTCCGTAGTAAGGGGGTTGGTACTGGAACCCGAATCCATAGTCTTCTCCGCCTTGATTGCTCCACGGAGTCTCGGGGTAATACCACCCAGATGGTGGTGGATACCCCCAATGATTGGAGAAGCCATTAGGATCCATGATTCAGATCTGCACCAACAAAAACAAAAACACCCAAGTGAAAAGCAAGGGTGGAAAAGAAAAGAAACGAAAAACGCTAAAGTAACAAACTTCTGCCTTTCCTAATACTCTAGAAAGTCCCCGGCAACGGCGCCAAAAACTTGACTCGCTATGACACAACACCTAACAAAGGCCAAGTGTATGTAACCAATGAAAGGGACTGCAGTATAGTGGCTCAAGTGATAAATATCGAATCCACGGGTCTCTAGAGTTACTATTACTCAGCTTCAGTTTATTATTTAGCAAATCTGATTAAGATGAAAGAGCTAAAACTACTCTAGCAAACTACAGTTAAAGTTAATATAATTACAGGTTGGGAACTCACTTAGGTATGATTCCCCCTAGCCACTAGCCAGATTAACGATTGATGATCTCTAACCTGTTTCACTTTCATTCACAATGCGGAGAATCCTTGACTAGACCTTGAGTCTCGACTAAAGGAACAAGGCCCTCTTGAGTCAATTGCCTAGAGGGACGTATCCTTCTCTAGAACAACTGACCAAGGCGTTCTGAACTAGACTCCCTCTATCGAAAGGGGTTCTCAATCGATACAAAGTAGTGAATCAACCCTCGACTAAAGCAATCGATCCACTACTATCAATCTATGGTGCTCTATTGACCTAATCAGGTATTCCCTCTCATAGAATCAAAGCAGAATCAATAATCTCGACTAAAGCAGAATTGAATCATGAAAACATGCATAGATTGAATATGAACTCAAGATTATCCAGTCAGAGTACTCATACAATCATCCAATCAAACAAACATAGCTAGGGTTCCTCAAAACCTAAGTGAAGAGAAGTTACTCCATAGAGAAGAGAGAGACTGCAGTAAGAATCTTCAGATGATCAGTCTTCAAGTCCGGGCTTGTTCCTCAAGCTTCCAAGGCGAAGAAATCCTCCAATTCCACTCCAAGATTGCCCTAAAACCCAACTTTATCCCTCAAGGCGAACGATACCTCTCTCTCTCTCTCTTTTGGTTCGTCCCTTGGGTGTTTGGGAACAAAAACCCAACTCTCTCCCTCCAAAAATGCACAAAACAGCCTTTTAACAGAAGTCGGGTCCCCTATCTTGGATTCTTCGTTTCTCCCTCGTTCAGACTTCAAATTAGGTCTCGTTTGATCCCATACGCTCGTAGTCTTGTCCTCTTTCTTCTCAATATAAGATTACATGATTATCAGGTCAAAAAATGAGGTAGAAATACATTCTTCTTCAAGTCATGCCCGAGTTTCTTCCCCCGAGTCGCCAATTAATCTCTGATTGACTTGAAACTTGCGCCTATGCTTCACTTTATGTGCTAGGACTTGAAATGTGACAAAGGAACACAACCTAGCATAAAAGAATCCAAAGAAGCGATAATGCAAGCTTAAACGATCAAGAAACAAAGGGGAAAACATGTGTAAATATCGAGTCATCAGGCTGCCATCTCAAGTACAACGATCGAAGAGTCAGACCTTCCAGTTTGTTGAAGAAGCATTGGCAGGGCGAATTCGGAGTTGGAAGTCTAAAGGCTTATCCTTTGCTTGGAAGGAGATAGTCATCAAGGCAGTGGGCTCTGCCAACCCGGTATATGCGATGTTTTCATTTCTCCTTCCCTCGTGGACATTTCGACGTTGTAATAGCTAGCTCGTGAGGTACTGGTGGTCTGGCCAGGATAAGGAGAATGGGATTCGTTGGTTGTCCTGGCCAGGCGCATGTCAGAGTAAGTTTCAAAGCGGTCTTGGTTTTTGTGACTTTGACTGATTCAATGTTGCTTTACTTGCTAAGCAGGCTTGGCGTGTTCTCCGGAGCCCGGACAACTCTTTGGGTCATCTCTACATAGCTCGCTACCATCCTCATCATCATTTTTTGGAAGCTTAGGCGGGCTCTCGACCATTATGGGCATGGCTGAATATTTTGGAAGGTCGTGATCTGCTCAAGCACGGACTCCGTTGGAAAGTTGGTTTTGGATTGTCCATTCCCGTTCTTGAAGACTGGTGGCTATCGACATATCCTCCTTCTTCACCAATTCTTCTTCCTAGCGTTTCTCAGGCTCTTCTTCGGGTTGCTGATCTTATTGACAACACTTGTCGATGCTGAAACCTTGATCTTTTGCGTAGCCTTTTTCCTGCCTGCACTATCAAGATTATTTTAGGCATTCCTTTGGCCCTCGTACCATCTGAAGATCTGCTTTTGTAGCATTACTCTTCGTCGGGAGACTACACTGTTTGTTCCGGGTACCAGGTTATTACTAATGAGCTCAATGCTCAAGTTCCTCCCCCTGGGTTACCTTTTGACTGCAGATTCTGGAAATATTTATGGAGCTTGCTGGTGCCGCCTAAGCTCCAAAACTTTTCTTGGCGCTTTGTTCATGTATTCCTCCCTCTTTGCACAGTTCTTTTTAGTAAGAAGTTGATCTCCTCAACGACCTGTCCGGTTTGCTCGGTTAGTGCAGAAAGTTTTCATCGTTGCTTTTTTAATTGCACGATAGTTGTCGGTGTGTGGCATTTAGTCGAGCAAGAACCACTGCATTTACACCTTGCGTGTGAAGTTTTGCAACCTCAGCAGGAACTATATCAGGGAATTTAATAACGTAGTCCCCGATATTATATCTTTCATCTGCTTGTAATCTTTTCTCTCCACTTATCCAAGTTGCAGGTGGCTGAGATTGTCTTCCTTCTTTGGCGGATATGAAAAGGAAGATGTTGGGTTGTCCATGGGGAATCCAATATCTTCCCGCGGCATTACATCGACAATTTTTAGGTTAGCTTGAGAAGTGGAAGTCTGCCACTCAAGACGATCACTCCACTTCTACTTCTCATGTTGGTGATCGGCCAAACTCTCCCCTGTTTCGGGCATTCTCCACTCCACCATGGCGCTGGCGGAACTTCCTCCACCTGCGGTCATTTTTGTTGGTTTTAATGGTTGGGCGCAGCGTGATCGTTGCGCTGGCACAGAATTTGTGGGACCTGACGATTCCAACAGTGTCCTGCTTTCCATGGGTAAGTTTTATGAAGGTATTCCGGATTCTTTTCTGGCCGATCTTTTAGCTTTGTGGGATGCTTTGAATTGGTGCTTAACTCATAATTTTTCCGAATCAATTGTCGTGGCAATTCAATGCTGCCTATTGGGCGGGTTTTGGGTGGAGATGCTGCCATAGCGATGGGCAGCGTGCTTGTAGAAGTAATTTGCAGGCTAGCAAGGCTTTTCAAGTTTTGTTCCTGCTCGTATGTTACTCATAGAGTTAATAGAGCACCCAATTTTGTGACAAAAAATGCTCTCTCATCGAAAGTTCGACGATTAGTCGACTTCTGCTTGTGGTTATGTATTGTTCTCTGACTATGTATCTGGGCTTTTCCCGGTTTTATCTATGTTAAAAAAAACTAATCGGGTACAAAGCTAGTAGGTTTAACCGTTTAGGAACCGGATCCAAACCGGGCAAATCAAGGACCACGCTGTATCTTTTGTTGACATCATCTGACCAATCGCGGAGGAGAAGTGACATGGCACCTTGCAGTCGTGTCATCGAGTATTTACTTCCTAGTTTTCCCTCCCTCCACTGTCAAATTCCAGCGAGGTCATCCTCATTGGGGAAAAGAATTCCGCAAACTCCACTCTCCCACTACCATTTCGCAATTCCAAACCAGGGAATTGTTTTGGTTTGATCTTCAATCTACCAAACCCTAGTTTCTCTCTTTTCCGCTCTACTGTGTCCATTACACGCGCCTACCGCATCTGCTCGCTCCTTCCTTGAATCCCCAGTTTTCGGGTAAGTTCATTCGTGCTTGCCTCTTCCGTTCCCCACTGTTGATGTCTCCATTTATTATGCCTCTACTTCTTTTAGCTCTTCGTTGGATTTGGTTGCGGATTTGAGGTTTGGGGTTTCTGGTATTTAGGTTGCTGGGTTTCTTTGCTATCTGATACTATTTCCCGAGTGACTGGCTGGACTAAGACCTGCGAATCCGCTATACTCACTCATATGGTCCGGTGGAGTTCATCGAGGTTTCATAATGGCGCCTTCGGCGGGCTGCTGGCGGGAGTGCTTGTCTTGTTGGCGCTGGTCGTATCTGGCGTAACGGCAGACATACAACTTAACGAGACATCTTCTTCAGCTGGTTTATCTTGGACGCCAGGGAACGAGGAGTCTGGTATCGTTATCCCCAAGTCTGATCCCGGCAATGAATCCTCTGTTATTTCAGCTATCGTGAGCGAGCAGGATCAACTTGATGGCGGCTTTTCTTCTCTTGAAGGGATGCTACAGTGGGCCATAGGTGAGTGAGATTCTCAGTTGAAGTTGTCTTTTTTTTTTCTTCTTCTTCTTTTTTGTGTCTGGATAACTGTTAGCTAATATGTTGTTGTCTATTTCTGGGCAATCGGCATAAATCAGGTCATTCTGATCCTGCTGCGTTGAAGCAATCTGCTCAAGATGCTCAGCGTTTATCTGCTGCTGAACTGAATAAGCGGCAAATGGAAATTAAGGTTAAAACTCATACAGCCTGCTGAAGAACAAAATGCACCCTTTTTGTACGTTTCGGAATGGATGTGTTCATATTTGTTTTTTTTTTTTTATAACTTTGACTTGTTGTAATTGAATGGACACAAAAACAGGCTACGCTATAGCACATCATCTATCTCTTCGCGGGACATAAGCTTAAGTATACTTTGTCGGGCAGTTGCTAAACTGTGTGATGCAATTACATCGCCCTTATTAATCCATTTGGAGTTCTAGATTCTGTTAGAATGTCATTAGCAATTCCCTCTCTCATATGTCAGCTAAATTTTAGCTGCTGTGAGTGTGATTCCTTCCCGTCATAGAAAAAGGGGCTTTGTTGAGTTCTTGTGTTTTATGTCTCTATTATGGTGATGCAGGAACTGATGGAGAAGTTGAAAATGCCGTCGGATGCACAGTTGATGCAGACTGCTTTGGATGACTTGAAAAATTCCTCTGTACCTATAGAAGATCGTCACCGTGCCCTAGAGGAGCTTCTTGTTCTTGTTGAGCCGATTGATAATGCCAATGGTACGACTTAGAAGCTTCTTCGTTTTTAAGAACAGTCACTATGTGTGTGTTAGACTTATTCCATTATGTCTTTTCCAACCTTGCAAATTCTCTAGAGATTTTTAAAGAAATTTCTGAAGCATTTCAATTTCGAAATCTTGGTCTTTGAAACGTGTAGAGAAGGATTTGAGAATTGAGAGTATCTTTTAAGTTGTAGTGATCTGCTGTCTTGTTAGAAGTAAATTCATTTTCGTAAACTTGGTTCCGAAGAAATAGTTGACACTTGTTAGAGAATGATGAATAGCAGAGTTGTACACTCGCACCCGTTCTATAATATAAGGTAGCTTACTGTAAAATGACTCCTCCCATCACGTCAACTCTTGCATGGGTTCACTTGAATCTTAACTTCACTTCTGCAGTTCTAGTAAGTAGTACCAAAGCAAGGACTCAATTTAGTTGCATTCTATGTCTAGAAGAATTTGGTACTCATTTAATTCCGAATAAGGTTCCAAGCATCGTTAACCTGGTCTTTATGATGCGTTCAGAGTACCTGATCAGTAGAAATGTTTTCAATAAATTTGGATGGAATGTTGGAATCTGAGGCTTAACGGCCCAAATTGCCAGCGTGCTAGCTATACAGACCAAATGACCTCCCAAAAGGAAGTAGGTGGAACTGCTACAATCTTTAAAATGTACTGGCAGGTTGGTTCCCACCCTAGTACGCGAAGAGAGATGGTGGCTTTGAATTTGTGTCATTTGTTTTGCCCTGACTCCCCTACCACCTCTTTGTTTTTTTCTTTGGCACTGTTTTACTTGATTGTGAGGTAGGTAAGCTAGCAGATATTATTTCTTTGTAGGGTGATATGGTTAAACATTTGAGTTGTCCAGACTTGAGATTTGGAAAGCCATCTTGTATGTATGCATTCTGACTGATTTGGGTGTTAAAGCATGTAATGAGGCAATGACACCTTGTCCACTGTCTGCCAGATTTGGCCAAACTTGGCGGTCTTGCACTGGTGGTTGGAGAGCTTAATCACCCTGCATCAGATATCAGGACGATATCTGCATGGGTGATTGGCAAGGCTAGTCAAAATAATGCACTTGTGCAAAAACAGGTAAAGTGCTTTTTGCTATCTGTTTGCTGTCGTGCCTTGTATATGATTACAGCGAATAATTTCCTAAATCCCGAATCTTTCAAGGTTTTGGAGCTTGGGGCACTATCAACCCTAATGAAGATGGTGTTATCTAATTCAGCTGATGAAGCAATTAAAGCGCTCTATGCTGTGTCAGCCTTGATTCGTAACAATGTTGCTGGTCAAGATCTGTTCTTTTCTGAAGCTGGGGATAAACTGCTTATGGTAATTTAGAATTGTGGAAACCTTTTGATGATCCAACTTCCATTGCTATAAGAACTTCAACCACTCAATTCGTATTCTATCAGGATGTTCTGAGCAACTCCAGCTCCAATATCAGACTCCGCAGGAAAACAGTTTCACTTGTTTCTGATCTGGCCGAAGGTCAATTAGAAAATCCAGTCCGAGAAGAACATTCTTGCTTTGGAAATCAGCTGTTCTTGAAGTCTATTGTTGATTTGACCATGTCAATTGACCTTGATCTCCAGGAAAAGGTAACTCTTTAGCATTCAGACTCTACCCTTGCTTTTGTAGAAACCAGTATTGGACAGGCAGACAGAAAATTAATTGGAGCTTGGCAATAATCTTTATTCACTTGGGATCTGGTGGTCATTATAGGCTCTTCTAGCTATCAAGAATATCCTGCAACTGAAAACTGGGAATGCAGTCATTTTGAAGGACTTTTGTGGGCTGGATGATGCTTTGGAGAGAATGACACAGGAGCTGGACGGTGTAACAGCAGAGGAATCAGATGGCGACTTTGCAGTTAGTGTAGAAAATTTGCGCAGAGAAGTACAGATGACTTTCCACAAAAAGCTTGGGGAGGTATGTAAAATGCTGAACCTTTTTTTACTGTTTCCCTGTACAGGTCACAATGCAGATTGATGAAACTCGCCCTTCATTTCTGATTTAGAGTTTAGAATGATCCGAGGCTCTTATTTCGACTGGTATCAATTCTATGTTGCAGGAGACTGGAGTTGGGGCATCATGAGATAGATGTTGTCTGCAAATCTATTCTGTTGAGAGCAAAGTCCGGCCGTGTTCGGATGGTCATCTACGATGGGTGTTCCTACTGGCTATCGTATATGCAAGAGAGGAACTGAAGGGAGAGAGAGGGAGCGAGAAGGAAGATTGTATTTGTTATCTGGAACAAGTGCTAAAGTTCACCTCCCAAACATTAGATTCAGATAGTCTTTGACTCAGAGATCAGGTGCTTGTGTAGCTTTGTTCTTTTTTATAACTCTGTTTAGAAGATGATGGCTCGCATGTGACTAGAGTGTTCAGATTAGTGTGTTTGTTGGTCGCTGTCGCCCGATAGGGATGGGGAAATATAACAAATATCAGTTAGCTAATATGAAAGAACTGGGTTACCTGGAAATATGCTCGTTTAAAAGATTATAAATGTGATCCTGTGACTGTGAGCACTGAGCAGTCTTTAAGATGTATGGTGTAAGACTTCTATTTCATTAAGAAAATCCAAGTATGTTTGGTATGATCGTTGACTATGGTCAGAAAGTAATTGTGACCATTAATAAAAGGTACAGTAACTTGTCCCCTAGAAGCAACTTAGAAGAAGTCCGAGTTTGGCTTGGCTAGTACTACTAGCAATAATTTAAGTTCAGTGTAATTGTTGGTTAAAGTAATAAAGAGCAATTATTATTCAAGGATAATTGCGGATATCTGCAACCTAACCAGGTATGGATATCATTTTGATATTTTACCTGATTCTTTTATGGGTATAGATATAAATATGAATAAAAGCCAAACTATTTTGAGTAAGCTAATGAATTTGCACCCAACTCGATTTGTTAGCAATTGCCATCTTTCTCCAATTAGGTAAGAGTAGCTAGGGTTGGAAGTTTGGTATCGGTATTTGGAGTATATCAAATACCGTACCAAATTATCACCATTTGGTATTACCGAATATCGGATTATGTTTTTTTTTACTGGAATCTGTAGTAATTTTATTAATCAGAAAGGGATGTTACATTATCCTGCTGCAGTTGATTAATAAGGTAAGACGAGTTCAAGTAAAAGTTTTGGCTTGCTACAAGCTAGGCTCAGGGTGACCAACGGTCAGCCGCCGGTTATCGACTCGGCAGCTATGGAATCTAAGCCAATTGAATCAGCAACCGCTGATAGACCTGGAGGATCAACGCAAGGTCGTAGGGATAAATATAAAAGCGTCTCCTTTGAAGGCGTTTGAAGGTAAGTCATGGTATCCGAGATCGGACATCGAAAGGGGCCCCAAGCCCTCCTCCCTCTACTTAAGTTAAAAAAAAACGGTTGGTGTTAAAGGGAGAACTGCGAGGAGCCAACCCTAGTACGAGAGGACTTTCTTGCTTGGCCAGCTGAAAATGATACTCAACGGAGTTCCGTTCTTTTCGGTGGGCATAACGTGTGCTGCTTCGTTTGATTCCCAGTTGATATGCCTCCACGAACCATTTCCATTTGATTGAAGATATCGGCAGATACTCCTGCACAGAACACCTACCTCGTTCTTGAGATTCTCCGGGGCGCTCAGCTTATGAATCAAAGACAAGCAGTCTGACTTCAGTATCGCATTTTGCCAATGGAACTGACTTGCCAATTGAGCTCCAAGCTCCGCTGCCAATGCCTCAGCAGCTTCAACTGTCCACGTTCCTGAGACTGACTTCCCGGCTGCCAACAGAAACCTACCGCTCGCATCCCTTATGACAACACCCAGGCCCGCTCCTCCAGAATCCAAAATTCATGCATCCGTACACACAAATATCATTCCTTGTGGTGGAAATTTCCAAGTCTTCCGTTCAGGTTGGGTAGCTGGTTCCATCTCCGGCCGCTGATGTAGTTTGTAATCCGCCAAAAGATATTTCGCGCGGAGTAGTATCTCCTCTTCGGGTAGTTTTGCTCCATTGAAAAGATGAGCGTTTCTTTCCTTCCAGAGATACCACAAAAGTACACACCAACCTTCTATCTTCTCTTCCTCCCCCCGTCTCCAGGATTGCCATTGTCCATGAGAGACAAGACCCCTGTCCTCGCAGCTCATACAAACTTGCTACCTCTGTTTCCTCCAAATCCTTGATGCCCATTCGCACTCAGAGAAGATATGAACTTGAGTGTCAAGCAGATCGTAGAACAGACACTTGTCCCCTCGTTGTGTTATTCAGGATTACGGAATTGGGATCGGTATATACCGAAATACCGAGAAACACCAAAAATTAAAAATTAATGAAATATAGCACACAACTTTTGGTCATTCCTCACTTTTTCACAACTTAGAAGCCCCCGTCCAACTCAATATTGACTTTCCAGATTAGGCCACTCTCGTCTCTCACTAGGGGTGTGCAACAGTTCAGTCTGGTCTGGACCGGACCAAACTCATGAGAACCGCGGTCCATTTGTCCAAGACATCTAAGGACCAAGGACTGGACCATCCTTGCATTCAGTCCATTTGCTCTGGTTCGTTCCGGTCCAAATATCAGCTCGGTCCATCATTTCTTCAGTAATTGTAAAATTCATTGAGACCAAGGGCCAGACCGCATTATACTCGATCTGGTATGGTCCGTATGGACCAGACCATTGCACACCCCTATCTCTCACCTAATCTCTTGTTATTTTCATAACACCAAAAAAGCAAACACTAGTATTAGTTGTCTCTCATCCTCCAATTCGTCAAATTAAAGATTACCAATGACAAGAATTTGAAATGTCACCACTCCTCCGTTATCCTTATCCATATCCTAGCTCTAGGCAAACTCAAGACTCTTTGATTAGTCTCTTTGTTCTAAATTAAACAATCAAATCTAATTTATATATTTAATTATTAATTGTAAATTAAAGTAAATTAATTTCGTATTCGATAATACCGATTGAGATACCGAAATAATTAGGGAATGAGATTGGGATACCAAAATTATTTAGAGATTGAGATTGTGATTGATTTTATGATGTAATTCGACATTCAAAATTTCGGTATTTGATTTTAGGGTACCGATATCTAGAGCTTGGAAACGGTGCGGTCTAGTCTATATAGTCTATGGTCCAGACCGAGAGGCTGGAATATAGACCACAGACTATATGGTCCGGTCTAGACCACGCATGTGCGATCTGGTCCGGTATGGTTTGGTCCATATAGACCGCACTTAATGATAAATGAACAATTTGTTTAGTCAACTACACAAAAAGTTGAGCCAATAACCAAGGAAAAAATATTTTTTTTGTATTAAAACATTAATTCTAACATGCATGAATAATTTTGACACCCTAAATCTTAATACATAACAAAGATACAAAGTAAAAGTATCACAACTTGCACCATAACGTCATAAACATTAACATAATTTCACATAGAGACACTATTATCTCTACTCTCTAGTGAAATGTGGTTGTGAATGAAGGAGGAGACGAGATTCTCAAAATTAAGGTTGAGACTTGGGTGTCATTGTGGGAGTTGAGAGAGTGGTCGAATGGGCTGTTAACACGTATTGAAAAGTCGGTTGGACCCACGATTTAGTCCGATAAACCGCGGTCTAGATCAGACCAGACCAAAAAATCATAACATCAAATATTACAGACCATGAACCAGACTAGACAATACTTAATGGTCTATGATCCGAACCAAACTATACAGTTCGATCTGCACAGTTCAATTTGAACCATAATTTTTCTAATCATCTGGTCTATTTTCCCAACTCTATCTATATCTATCAATTTCCATTTAAGAGTTGCATCCACCAGCGTGGCCCGTATCCCTTTTGGCTCTCTTTACCGCTGGAAACTATTTTGGGGAAGAGTTCGTATTCGTGGGCTTCAGCTGCAGGTCGGCATACACGGACAATCAACGTGGGCCAGAAAAGTCCACTCCTGACAACGCGCTGCTGATTCTTCCAATTTCCAAGGCCTGATTTGTCCCATAAACAAAGAAGCAGAGGAAAAAGGGACAGAACATCGGTTGCGTAGTCTGGCAGCAGCAGGGAACTTTCCCGGAGCTTAATCCCCCGGGTGGTCGTTTCTCCGTCGACGATCACATTGGGCACAAATCCAACCTCCTCGTATTCACCGATCAGCAGCTTTTCCAGGCGAGAGACAGAGTTCGTGATTTCCTCTCTTCTTCTTCTTTCAAGCTCCTGCAATGGCGGATGCCGGCGGTGAGAAGCCTCTTAAGAAGATCGCGGAGGCGTTCAAGGGGCTCGAAACCACTGTCAACTCCCAATCCGCCGCAGACTTGGAGCTTGCGCCCTTCTCTCGTGCCGCTTCCCTCGTCTCGCCTCTCTTTGGTTGTTTGGGCATCGCCTTCAAGTTCGCTGAGATGGATTATGTAGCCAAGGTACCCCTTTTGTGTAATTTGAATCCGCCATTATAAGCTAGGATCAGTTCAGTTGCAAAGTTCCCTTCTTTCCCACATTTTTGTTTGGGGGGGATTTGAATTGATTAGTTTCTGATGAGCAGGTTCACGATCTTGCAGAAGCATCAAAATCAATTACGACCCTACCAGTTATGATGGACAAAGATGTAGCGGGAAACACGGTGAGGAAAGCCGGCAGTCACACCAGGAACCTCTTGAGGGTGAAGCGTGGCCTCGACATGGTCAAAGTGCTGTTTGAGCAAATTCTTGCAACACAGTATGCGCCTCTCTCCTTCTCTCTTCTGCATTTCCTTCGTCTTTCAGCTTCTCATAATTAAGTCTAGCAAATTTTGTCATGGCGTTTGTTGGTATGAGTACGGCCCCATGCTAAGAAGTAGAGCTGATGGAATATGCAATACCCACATTTCAGATTGATCCAGAGTTATTGAATTGAATGCACTCAATGGTTCTTGCTTTCTGTTGGTTTGTAATGGGGGTTTGCATCGGAATCTCCCAGTCACTATTCTCTCTACCGAAGAATGGTGTTTCTATTTTCCTAGTCCTTGCGCATGTTGTTCTTCTGCTCGTATGTCTCTGCAGCAGTTCTTTGCCTTTAGTCATTACGGAGAGATGTTACTCTTATGTGTTAGTAAATGGCAGTTGATAAAGTCGCTCACTTTAGCCAGATTTTCACTCATCTTCTGTATTGTCACTGCTTTGAGCAGTGGCCACTTAACTGTTGCTGGGCGTAGTTTCTACTGTGTATTTGAGTAGCAATCTTGGGATACGTTCTTGATTGCTGATAATGCAAATAAAAAAGGAGATTCCAAACGATGGTAGTATCTGTTGTATGGATGGTTGGAAGGGCAACATTAACATTTTCCCTTTTTCTGGCTGCAGAGGGGACTCCCTGAAGGACCCAGCGTCAAAGGCTTATGCACAGGTGTTTGCTCCTCACCACGGTTGGGCGATCAGGAAAGCAGTTGGTGCAGGGATGTATGCCCTTCCCACAAGAACACAGCTAATGAGGAAGCTTAACGAAGATGGTGAGTGTTTGCATTCTCGTTGAACCATTTTCTCAGTAAACATTAATGAGATCTAGATTCAGCGGCCATTGTGCTTTGCTCGAAAAAGTGCCAAAACTCTGTTGCATTATGTCCTTGGGTATGCCTTCTCGCTCCCCTAATCTGATACGGTACACAATATCACACTTCCATTCTTCTTGCATAGTTGGTTCGACTTAGAGTTGATACGTCTAGCAGGCTTGAACTTCGACAAAATTGACTCTCTTCTAGGCTGCAAATGTTAGTTTGCACCCGACAAGGCATGAAATTCTAGTTGCTGACTTGTGGTGGCACTCCACTGCAGTCTTGAACCTTAGTCTAAAAATGCATTTGTTTTCCTCTAACGATGGAGATAAAAACGGAAAAAGAGAATGAAACCATTTCATGCTGTCTCAATTCTTGGTAGTAGCATCATGCCATCATCTGATTCGTGTTCCTGTGTGTTCTTTGCAGAGGCTTCAGCAAGGATTCAAATGCAGAGTTACATCTCAGCATCTGGGCCGCTGATAGTGTACATTGATAAACTATTCGAGACGAGAGAACTGGGAACAGATTGGTGAAGAACAAGCACCCAAATGTTGACTTGTAGCCTGTGATGATCCGCCCCTGGGGGGTTGTTTACCTCCACCGGAAATTCCCTTGCTGTTAATATACTCTCTTAAAGTGGAATCTGTTGAAATAATGTGTACAATTATCAAGAAGCTCTTTAAGGAGACGGTGTTGTATAATCTTTATATTGACTTGACTGTGACTTATGTGTAATTCTAATGCGAAGTTCTCGTTCCTTCTACACACTGCTTCTAACACAGAGGAGGCGAGATGACAGATCTGGAATCATGTGAATTGCATACTAATTACTAGCTACGTTATCTCACCTCTAAATGAAATCTATACATTTCAACAATCCATTCATTTTAGCATCTCATCCAAAAAGAAAAAAAAAAAAAAAAAAAACCCTCCCTTGAAATTTGTTGACACAAGTTTAGCCTTTGTTTAGATTAACTGACAAAAATTTGAGTGTTGGAAAATGAGGATGCGGATGGTTAGGAAATTTCCGCTCTATCGTCATCATTACTCGAGTAATCTTAGAAGTGGTTCTGAGGTGGTGATATGTAAACCCTTGTCAAGGTTAGTGGTTGATTCACTTGGAGGGTCATTGTTTCAGAATTGTCGCAGTCTGGTTGATTCACTCTCTGATAGTATAGTTTTTAGGGCAGTCGTATGACCCACAAACTGGTCTGCACATAAAGTGGCATGTTAAACCCCGTTGATGTCTCTTCTGTAAGGAAGTGGTTAAGCACCATACACGGGCCTGTATAAGATCCAGCATAACCTTCTCCCAACAACTCGAGTTATTGGGAGCAACTGGTTCTTGACATGGTATCAGAACTGGTTTGGCCAAGTGGTCGTGTGTTCGAATCTCCACGACCCCCAATATTAACAGTGGATTAAAGCACAAGGTATGGTGGGGCTGTGCAAACTTCAAGCCCATGGGTTGGCTTTGGCCAAGTGGTCGTGTGTTCGAATCTCCACGACCCCCAATATTAACAGTGGATTAAAGCACAAGGTATGGTGGGCCTGTGCAAACTTCAAGCCCATGAGTTGGCTACCATGTCAAGAACCAGTTGCTCCCAATAACTCGAGTTGTTGGGACTTGGGAGAAGGTTATGCTCGATCTTATACATGCCCGTGTATGGTGCTTAACCACTTCCTTACACGCCCCCTCAAACGAAAGCCGACTCATGGGCTTGAAGTTTGCACAGGCCCGCCATACCATGTGCTCGAAAGACAACGGTTAATATTGGGGGTCGTGAGGATTCGAACACACGACCACTTGGCCAAACCAGCTCTGATACCATGTCAAGAACCAGTTGCTCCCAATAACTCGAGTTGTTGGGAGAAGGTTATGTTGGATCTTATACAAGCCCGTGTATGGTGCTTAACCACTTCCTTACATCTTCTAGAATTAGTTTTCTTTGATTTTGTAGGATGGTTTCACTAAAGTATTGCCTAAAGAGGGTTCGTGAGAGATCCATGATTAATAAGTAAAAAATCGATCTTAACCGACAACACATTTTGTGGTGAAATGGAAGAGTTCTTATACAAGCTCTTAAATTAAATGTACTCACTATCAGTGGCGGATCCAGAAATTTTATATAGGAGTGTCCTCTCCTAAAAATTAAGTTAAATTAATAATTAAATAAGAAAATATCTGCCTTGTCCAAAGTACGACAAAGCACATGACGTGTTTCGTATTTTGTAAAAATTATAAAATATAATCGGTGTCTAACAATGCTCTACAATCTCTCTTGATATATCCACAAGGGGAGCTCGTAATTGGGTTTAATCGTTAGCTTTTGAAAATAATTGGGGATAAGAAATATTTTTTTACTATTATACTTGGATTTGAAATACAAAAACGAATGCCTTATATAAAAAAAATACAAGAACAAATGAGTTATAGTCTAATGAAAAATATGTTTACTAATAATTGCAGCGACCCAAGTTCAAATCACATAGGCAATCACTTAAATGTTTATATTTACCAATACACAAACTACTATTGGGAGATTATAATCTGTTTGTGCCTAGTAAATACTAGGCGGTTTGTGGAGCTTGAGCGAGGCGTCTGTTCTTGGACTGAGGGGGGCGCTCCAGATACTCTGCAAAACAAGGGTCCGGGGCTGTTGCCCGGGACACTCTCCGAAGCTTAAGTTAGAGAGAGAAAGGGGAATAAGGGAATTTATGTAGAGAGATGAGTAGTAGTTGGATCTCATAAATGAGCTTACTCTTGTATTTATACCTGGTTCGAAGGTAGTTGGGGCATTAAATGTCTTGTCGGGCGTCCCGGGCTGTGTCAGGCGCCCGATCAGGCTTTTTACCTTTCTGCAGGCCGCCTGAGGCCTGCAATAAATGCTTAGTCTTGCCTGACACCAGATACGCATCTTCAACGGCTCCCTGCTCCTCTGTGTTGCCCAGTCGCTTTATGTCAGGCGCCCTTATCTGTTTTTCGGGTTTGCGGCCGGTCAAGAGACCTCCCGCTGACCCGGTCTTCTGATCGGGCCTGGTTTCCTATTGGGCCTTAACTGCGGATGCGTCCCTCTTGGGCCAGAAGTCCAATTACGCTCAACTATGCGGCCCAACAATTGCCCCTTAGGCGGGAAAAGCCTAGGGTTTTGGCGGCTACCAATGATGCTCTTAGCTAGTTGAGCGGTTCACGCCTTCTCCTTACCCTACTCTGCCCCTGGCCGCCGGGGGCCTAGGGTTGGCCTGCCTGAGATGTGACTCGACCGCCTCGCGGGTTTTGGGTGGAGACGCCTTGTACACGTGTTGACGGTTGGTTTCCGTGCCCTGACACCGGGCAGGCGAAACGTCTCTTCGCGTGCCAGTTTTTGAATTTCGTGGCCTAGGGCACTCAACCGTCACATCACTGCTTTTTGCCGCTATATATATACCTCAGACTTCCTGTTGCTGGTCACTTTCGCATTTTGCTTCTCTGTCCTCTTTTCAAGATTGCGCGGTGCTCCAAATTCTCTCTTTCTCACTATTTGGAGACTCGTCTGTCTCTCTCTGCGGATCGACGTCGGTTTTTGACCTCTTTGAGGAAAACCGAGAAACGAGACAAGAAGAAGAAGAAAAAACTACTTGCGATGGCCTCTCAAACGACCACTCCGTCCGACAGCCAGAATCGGGGTCTTTCCGGTGAGTCGGCCCCGCCATCCACCTCCGACGTTGCCACCAACACCGCCTCTGCCGCTGCGGCGACGACCACTTTCGGTGCGGCGGCCGCCGCCGTTCCCGGCGACGGTGTTGCTTCCCGCGGCGGAGCTAGTATCGCGCGTCCCAGCGCTAAAGCCGCCAGCGCGGGCGGTCCTGCTGCTGGAGCAAGTATGCCTGATTTCTCTAATTCCTTAAGTTTATCTGATATAGAATGGGACTCGGAGGGTATTGAATTGTTGTGTGGGGGAGGCGATGCGGGTGTTGCGGGTGAGCGTTTAGATAGGCCTGACGGTTGCATTTTAGGATTAGGGGCGGGCGCTCTTAATGACACGGCCACCTCCATGGTTGAGCGTGGCGGGACTTCCCGAGTTGGTGATAACTTGGTAGAGCTATCGTCGGAAAGCGCTCCGGAGGATGCGGCTCATGACTCCGCTAGGGAAGATTCGATAGAGAATTCCCTTTCGCTGGCGTTATCGGAGACCCCCCTGGTCCATCCGTTTCAGGCGGTTTCTGACCGTGAGTATTGAGTGCGTCTTCACGAGGACATGTGGGAGGGGGAGGAGGTTCCGGAAGCCATGTACTCGTATGGACCGAAGTACAAGCCCGCTTATTCCCCGGTACAAGTTCTCCGCCAGCTTCACAGGCACCGGCTGCCTACTGACTGGGAGTATGCGGCTCCCTCCCTCGGTGGACGCTGCGGTTCATGCCCGGTGGGGTGGATCACCATCTTCACCGAGCATGTGCGCCTAGGGTTGGAGTTTCCTTTAGACCCGGTTGTTACTGGGATCTTGACACTTCTGAACTGCTCCTTGAGCCGCCTCTCTCCCTCCATCATCTTTCACGCCCTTTGCTACCGTGCGGCCTGCGACCAGTTGAAAGAGGAGCCCTCGGTTGACGCCTTTCGGCTGTTGTATGCCATGACTGGCTCAAAGAATTGCTGGTCGCCCCGAAGGAGAGAGAAGAAGGTGGGGTTCGTTTTTGGATCTCCCAAGTTGGACTCGCCATGGTACTCCGAGTATTTCTTTGCCCGGCCGTCTGGAAAATGGTACTCGGGAGATGTAGAACCGCTAACCGCCTTTTCCTTTGGGAGTACGGAGGATTGGGACGAGGGTGTCAAGCAGCTCCAACATCTGAGACCTCACCTGGACCGCATCACTTCGGCCGTTCAGTTTTGGTTGCCCCCGCACGGGCATGATAATGCACTTGAGATTGTGCAACGTTTTCACGGTTAGTTAGTTCCCCTTAGCTTTGATGAAATGTTGTTTTCTCATGCCTTTACTTATGTATTCATTTTTCAGGGATCCGCCGGTATGCGTCGTCCGCCCGACCGCCCAAGGTGGCCGCGAGCGGCTCTCCCTCAGCTGCCCCTTCGATTCCTAGCGGTTCTGAAGGACCCCGAGCGGCCAGCGGTTCGACCCAATCGCATCTGGCCATGGGGCGCTCCGGGAACCTGAAGCTGACCATTCCCAACGGTCAGGGTGTGGGCCAGTCATCCAACAAGCGCCCCCTAGACGTTGTGGTTGTCCAGGACAAGACGCCTTCGGGAGGGCTGCTGAAGTTGAAGGGGACTCAGGTCGACCCGCGTCCCGAACCGCCAGCTGGCGCGAAGAAGCAGAAGACAACGGAGTTGTCGGCCAGCGCGCAATATTCTCCGCATGTCACTTCTCATGCCAAACCGGCTCGCCGCGCTCTTCATGCCATCGCCGAGGGATTCGTAGTCCCGAGTGAGTATGTGCGGGTTGCAGGCTCCATGCCTACTACCTCGGATACCCGCCACCTAGCCGGGACAACCGCTCGATGCTTCTTTGCGGTAAGCGTCCAAACCATGCCTTAGCTTATTTCATAAGTTAGTCGTAAGATACTGAACCCAATTTCTACACTTAGGCGCAATTTGGGATAAGTCAGCTGATCCTGCACAACGAGCGCTTGCTGGATGACCTGGGTGACCGGGATTCCCGCATCCTCAAACTTGAGGAGCAGTTGAAGGATGGGCGTGAGGACCTCTGCCGGCAACTTCGAGACGAAGTGCTCAAGGAGCAAGAGGCGGCCCAGAAGGTGAAGGATGCTAAGCTGCGGACTGCACAGGAGGAGCAGACGAAGGCCGCCCGAGAGCTGGAAAAGGCTAAAAAGGAGGTGGCGGAGGCTGCGGAGCGGGAAAGGAAGCTTCGGGACAAGGTGCAGGAGTTG